AAAAAAAAAAAAAAAGCGTCAGTGCCTGGAAGACAGGAAGTGACGTGAGAACCGTACCTCCCACCGCCCCGCCCCTTGTTGGTGTCTGGTCTCTTGGCCTACAGTCAAACAGCGTCTTGGCTTCAGGGAGCGTTTACTTGATCAAAGCACGAGGGACCGGCTGTGCCCTGCCCAGGAGACGTACGGAGTCGAGGATCTGTGCCCGCAGTCCTGGCTCTGCTCAGCCATCCTTTTCAGGCCGCTCCAGGAAGACGGAACCAGCCGTGCAGGGGACGGGGGAGTGGGCTCTGAGGCTGAGGGCACAGGAGTGCGTGGCATGGGGCCCCGAGTCCGAAGGGCCCTTGTGTCAAGGGACACACAGAGACCGCTCTGCCTTTCCATTTCCTCTCTGCCCCAGGAGACATCTGAGGTGGCTGTCACTCGGGCTGTCCAGACACATGGAGGGGGGCGGTCGGTATGTGTCGGAGCACGAGAGGAGAGGCACCGGGCAGGCAAGGCCTGGGTCCTCGGCTGTCCAGTCACACGTCCTGCAGCAGCAAAATGCAGGCTCTTACGTGCGAGCTGACACTTAAGGGGGAGCTGCTTCTGCGAAAACCACAGGGATGCTAACACCTCCGAGCCCCCAATGCCACCAGCAACATCTCAGAAACCTGGTGGAAAAGGGAATCCAAGAAGAGGAAATGACCCACTGTTGCCGGCGTTAGGGGCCAGATGTGAGACAAACTCTCTGGTTTTGAAAAGGATGAACCTTTCCGATCGTCTGCAGCACAGCAGACCGCGCCAGCGCGTCACAAGCGGATGGGGTCCCAATTACCAGGATGACCAGGAATCTCTCCTCTTTCTCGAGCCAGCGCTGGTCCTCCTCCATTTCCTGCTGCTGCCGGATCAGCCGCTCTTCCACCAGCTGGGTGGGCAGCACCTGCCCCATCCCGCGCAGGTCCAGGGCCGCAGAGTCCTGGCGGGAGGGAAATACAAGAGCGCATCCACTCTCAGGGGCCTACTGAGGATAGTTTTGCTGTTTTCTGTGTCTTTCCAAAGGAAATGAAGCAGAACGGCAAGGGCGGTGGAAAGAGGGCCTCTCACACTCCGCTCACGGGAGCGACTTTCCCAGAGGCAGCTCGTCACCTCCTGCCGAGCATCTTTGCCAAGTGCAAGGTCGTTCAGCCCACAGCTCCACCTGCAGGGACTTATTCTAGAGAAACGATCCAGGGAACGTGCAGAGAATACATCACTGGTTACGGTGAAAGAGTGAAAACAGTCTGGAGGTGGACCAGAAGGAGGGTTAAACTCGGTGCACACGCTGCGGCGGACCGAGCAATTGTTAAACACGCTCGCTCCAAGGACGAGGGCATGGCAGTGACCACAGGTGTTCTGGGAGTCCAAGAAACAACATTTACTATCACAGGAGCGGTTCTCGGTTTACCAGGCAAATCTGGTGAAAGTTACCACGGCCCACAGAGCGGCAGGCTCTGTCCCCCTGCCCTGCTCCTTCCGGGGACGTGCCTCCCGCACACGCTCATTACGCTCAGGCTGGTGCGCCGCCTTTCGGACGGGCGGGCTAACGGTGGCGGCGTCTCTTGGTTTCAGTGAAAAGGACGCACAGACTAGGAAGCACTGGGGCACATGGAGCACCCTGGTGTTCGAATGAGGTCACCGAAACCAACAACTCACTTTGGGCAAAGCCATGCTAACACACGAACATCCAGCTTACCTCCACGTTGGGCTGCCACATCGATATCTCCTGTGGTCTGTGGTTCCATGAGTCCGTCTGTTCCAAAAGAGATGCCTGACCCGGGTAGATGCTGCCAGCCGTGGCTGTGACCCCATGTGAGCCGGGATAGCCAGACACCTGCGAATGGGAGGCAGCGGGGGTCACACTCCTGCACAGCTGTGCCCTCCACACGCAGGCCAGCGGCTCAGATGGCAAAGAACACCGTGGAAACGCAACAGTGGTGCCTGAGACATCCACGTCTGGATCCCCGGAACCCGGGGCTGTGCCCCCTCACGTGGCAAAGGGACCTCACACACGGGATAGTAAATGAGGAGACTGGAGACGTGGCGGTCACCCTGGATTATCCGAGCGGACCTAATGGGAGAAGCAGGTTCCTGACAAGGGCCAAGGGGGGCCGAAGGGGAGAGAAGGGGAGATCTGAAGCGTGCTCAGAGAGGTACGGCAGGGCCGGTTCTGAAGGCTGGGGGAGGGCTCACTGGCCAAGTGAAGCAGGGGGCCTCCGGAAGCTGGTCAAGGCAAGGCAATGGATTCTCAACTAAAGCCCCAAAAAGGCAATCCATGAAGGCCGCATCGAGAGCTAAAGCGAACACACCAGCAAGTCGGAAACGGTGTCCCGTGCCATTCTGCAGCCTCGATGCCAAAGCAACAGGGACCACGGTCATGGCTCTGTGGCACTGCTCCCGAGCGCTCTTCTCTGATGAGCTAGAGCTGGCGGTGAGCGAAGTCTGGCCCCGTGTCCCCACAGCGGTGGCCATGGTAGAGACAAGGTGCTCAGGTGCACGTGCAAAAGAGTTCAGGGCAGAAGGAAAACGAGAGGGCTGTTTATGTGGTTCCCTCCCTCAGTCACGAGAAAAAGAGGGGACGGAATCAGCATTTGCTTCCATAACTCACTAGGCGAGTACGGTGTGGCCAGAGTCGTCAGTTAATTCTTCAATGAGATAAAGCACAGCCAAACCCGTATTTCCAAACATCAACACGTTCTTCAACAAAGATTTCGTGCATCGGTTAGGTCTCCAGGGATGGATTTATCCCCAAGTTGCATACTGACAACTAATAAACTTTCAAATAAGATGTATAGACCGTTCTCATAGTTTACTTAAAGGAAAATATTTTTTTAAACATTTATTTTTTGAGAGAGAGAGAGAGAGAGAGAGAGAGAGAGAGAGAGAGAGCAGGAGAGGGGCAGAGCGAGGGGGGACAGAAGATCTGCCCCGACAGCATGGAGCCCAACGCGGGGCCTGAACTCATGAACCGCGAGATCATGACCTGAGCCAAAGTTGGACACTCAACCGACTGAGCCCCCCCCCCCGGGGCTCCCCCTTGAATGAAGATATTTTAACAAAAAAATTCCACTAACATAAAGTGTCCTATCGCTATTTTTGGTCGGAAGGGACACACTACTGCCAGAGAACTTTCAGGAATTTGCACAGGAGATTTCAAGTGTTCTGTGGCAGCCACACAGCGGAGTGACGGGATCCAGTGAACATTTTAGGCCAAGAAGGAACGTGAGACAGCGGCAGGCAATGGCCCGCTGCTGTTCCCATTTGCAGGACAAAGAAACCTGGCGCCTGGGGGAGGTGAATTGTTCATTTCTTCAATGAAAATAGGAGTATTTTAACTTCTCCCCCGAATCCTCCCTCTGTTCTATACACGCCTGTAGGCACTTCAAGTGGAGGCAAGTCTCCGTCCTCACGGGCTTCCACTCCACGGGGCGGCGGCCACTGACCAACGGGCACCAGAGCCCCGGGTCGTGAAAGCTGCGCAGACCGGTGCCCTGACCGCATGCTCTCTCGGTCTCGTCAGCGGATGTGGCCGCGTTTTCTCTCAAGAAGCCTGGGGTCCGGTGCCTGCCCGGGGCCCGGCTTCCCTCCTTGGGCCACCCACACCCCTCCGGCTGCTCTGAGCGCTGCCCTAGGTCCGGGTTCCGGCTCTTCAGCCGTGATGAGTCACGGCCAGGCAAGCTGTAACCCACGCTTCCGGCGACCGAGGGGCCGAGGAGCGCCTCCCTCGAGGGCGGAGGGCACGGGGACAGTCAGTCACCGCCAGCCTGCGGAATGAGGAGCTGCCCCGGAGGACCCGATGGCTCACCCTCCCCTGGCAAGTGGGGGGTCTCAGGACAGGGTCTCCCAAAACAGGGCTGCCAGTCCTGTACCAGAGCTCCTGGGGGTGCCTGCTCACGATGGAAAACTGCCGGGCCCCCGTTCAGAATTAGTACGCGGGGGTCCGGAGGCAGTCAGCCAGGCAAAGAGCCGCCACGTGTCCGCCTTTCGCGTTCTGTCTAGCAACATCCTTCTAGCTCGGAATGGCCTGCCCTCACCCGGCAGCCCAGCACCGCACAGGGAAGAGTGTTGTGTTGTCCATACTGACCCAAGAGGCCTGGCTTTAAATAGACTTGAGAGGCACGTAAAGGAATAAAAGTGGTTTCATCTGAGTGAAGGAGGCACAGTAAGCGGGCTTCTGTTTGCTCCCTGAGACACGGATAACTCAGGGGAGATGGCAGTTAAGGGAAGTTCTCCCTCCCCAGACAGACACTCGAGGACCACCCGCTGTTTGTTTAGCATCTGAGTCCTTCTCCGGTCAAGCACTTTCTATTAGAGGCCGGTGTCACGGCTCACCCAGCCAGCCAGCCAGCTATGGATTTCGGTGCAGTCGCCTCAGAGGCGCGGCAACAGCAAAGCCACAGCCGATACCAATTATAAGAGGGGGTTTTATTTCCCAGAAGCGATTTGGCCCGCTACCCAAATAACATCACTACGGCTAAACAATCTGTGGAAGAGTCCCCAGCACTACAAAGGAGTGAATTAGTGACACCCTCATCAGGACGTCAACGCACAGACATCACACCAGTCAGAGCAGCTGAGCACGGGGGACAAGCACACCCTGTCTGATCGTTTATCTGAAAGCCAAGGACACGCCACGCCAACCTCTCCTCACAGTCAGAGGGTGGCTGCACCGGGCAGCGGGCGACACGGGGAGGGGAAGGGACCGTCCAGGCCTACAGCAGTGTTCTCCAGCCGGTGTGGCGCGGGGAGCACGGTGTCCACTTCGGTCAGAACTGGGTCGAGTATACCTCCACAGGGCAAATACCCTTCCCTCAGAAACAGAAACATTACTGACTTTGCTCTGGTCCTTTCCTTTCGAGGACAGTCTTTCCCAATTTGCGTAAGCTACTTATTAGCCTGGAAGTCTGACAAGCTTTCCACACCTGTCCATATGGCATCTGTCCAGTTCGCAAGGTACAATCGAATGTTGTTTTTGCCTTCCAGAAAAACCGCCCAGGTCATCACTACCTCTGCGCAGTAGGAGCCGCTGGGTTCGCCTGCGCCTCCCCCAACAGAGGAAGGCGATGGGGCTGAGGACGTGGCACAGGACAGACGCCCAGCTGTGTGAAGGCCACCCTCTGGGGCTCAACACGCCATCCACTTACAGCTACTAGTCAGAGTACTTTCTCAGTTCTCTGCGTGCCAAATCACTCGTAAGTACAGAAATGAAAAAACGCATACATGTGACGCACCTCCCCAGCCCAAACGTGAAGAAGAATGCATCTCACATCTGTCACGACTGCATATCATACCTGGTAATGATTGGTCTGTACCATGTGCTGGGGACTGGGATAAAATCCTTCGCTGGACCGTGGACTGGGGTAACCAGGTCTGCTGGGCTGTGAACAAATCAAGAGAGCGTCGTATGAATGAGTGTTTTGATAATTCTGTTAAGTCTATGTTTCACTGAAAAGAACAGAAAAAGGTATTTCTCCAAAACGCTTCCGTCGGAAAGAATGATCCAGGGTGTCAAGGCACTTCAGCGGGGGAAGCAGCCTGTCCCAGCGACGTCCAGGGCACAGGATACCGCCACGTGACACAACAAAGCCACACCCCTTCCTCACGACACACACAAAGATGAGCTCAAAACGGGATCGTGGATCTACATGGAAGCGGCAAAACTGCAACACTCAGGGGAGAACAGGCATCTCCGTGACCTGGGTGAGGCGACCGTTCCCTCGATACGACACCAGAAGCTCAATCGAGAGTGAACAAAGATAACCCGCGCTTCGCCAGAATTAAAAGCTCTCGTGTTGCAAGTGAGGCTGCCGAGAAAGAGAAAGAGACAGCCCACGGAGTCTAAGAAAATACTGGCTGATCACTTAGGAGACAGACCCAGCAAACGCAAAGAACGCGTGTAACTCAGCGATGAAACGACTATCTGGCTGAACATGGGCGAAGGGCGAGAGGCCCCAGGGAGATCCACCGGTGGCCAGGAAGACCCAGCACCCAGGAGACGCACGTCAGGAGGCTCTCGAGCGGGAGCCGAGCCCGTGCTCCTTCCGCTCTGCTGCTTCCTGGCTGCGTGACTGCGGGCGGGCGAGGGAGCCCACTGGCTTCTGCATCTATCGAACAGGAATCCAGCTAGAGGGACGGTAAAGTCACTCCCAGCTCTAGAATTCTGTCTGTCTGTGGCATACATGAATTCAAAGTTCATAGCAAAAGTGGTTTAGCCTGAAATAGAAGATAAGCCCATGAAATCTTCTAACCCTGAGGGACTGAACGGAGGACAAACCCACTGCTCTCCAGCCAAATGAAGACCAGAATAAAAGCAGATGGACTCAGGTACCAGCAAAGCCCAGGGGAGGAAAGAAACGCCTCAGAGTCTGCGTCTCCTCCCGAGGACGCACGTGGTCCTGCAGGAGCACACGCTCTGCTTGACTTCTGGGTGTCTAGGACCCTCTCATCACCCCACAGCTCTGCTCACACGGCCCACTGCCCGGATGCCTCCTGCCTCAGCCTGGGAAGCTCCACCCCAACTTCTGAGTCTTCTACGGTGATTCCGTGCAATCTCCCGATTTCTCCCACAGACGTGACGTCTAAGTCCTCGGCTCTCCTCCGTCACGCGATTCAAATCCTGACTGGGACTGTGGCTACCTCTGTACCTGCCCAAGCCCTGCTACTGTGGGGCTGTGAAATCTCTGCGGGTGGGGGTGCCTGGGTGGCTCAGTCGGTTAAGAGTCCGACTTCGGCTCAGGTCACGATCTCGCAGTCCGTGAGTTCGAGCCCCGCGTCGGGCTCTGTGCTGACACCTCGGAGCCTGGAGCCTGCTTCAGATTCTGTGTGTCCCTCTCTCTTTGCCCCTCCCCCACTCACACTCTGTCTCTGTCTCTCTCTCTCTCTCAAAAATAAAGATTAAAAAAAAAATTAAAAAAAAAATCTCTCGGGTGGAAATGCTCCCTTAGCCCATGAGCCTGCATTACAGTGGCCCAGATGCGGTTTACCCCAAACTTAACCAAATAGGAGGATGGATCCCCGAGACCCCCGGAAGCAGGAAAGGGACATCAAGGGGGTGTCACAGGCTTTACTCTGTGTTCTACAGTGGCATTTTCTACAAGTATGTTCCATGATGCCTGAGGGACTACTCTTCAGATTTAGATTTTTAAAGATTTCATTTGAACAAGTAGTGAAGGAGAGGCAAAAAGAAAACAGTTCCATTATCTCTGTTCTATGATATTGGACCGGCAACACTCATTTTTTTTTTAAGTTTATTTATTTTTGAGAGAGAGAAAGCACAAGCAGGGAGGGGCAGAGAGGGAGGGGGGAGAGAGATTCCCAAGCAGGATCTGCACTGTCCGTGCGGAGCCTGGTGTGGGGCTTGAACCCACGAACCACGAGACCACGACCCGAGCCATGGCTTCACCGACTGAGCCACCCAGGCGCCCGCAACACTCATTTCAAAGGTATGTGTTAACATGTATGCACCGCCATGGCGGTGTGGGACTCCTGGAGTCCAAGCGCGGGAGGAGGCAGAATCAGGACAGTAAGCAGCTCTCTGATGATGGTACAGTTGTGTCCCGTGGCTTGAGTCCTGGAGGTCGCATGTAAGTAACAGGCAAAAATAACAACTTTTCCTCAGTGTGGCTGTGTGCACCGAGCTGACGTGCTTTCCATACGATTTGAGTTGGAGGAGCAATGTCACCGGGTGGTATTATCACCCTTTTCCAGAGGATAAAGCCGCGGCTCAGACAACTTCGTCAACGTGAAGAGACTGCACCGTCCACGCGGGCAGACCTGCTCGACCCCGGTGACGCCGCCCTGTGGCAAGTGTGCTTGGGCTCGACAAGTAAAACGGAAAATACAGAAGGAACTGATGAGGGGCCGGCAAAGTCACCACACAACGTCCCACAGGGACTCAAATACCTGAGTGGGTAACAAAAAAGAGCACTTGCAAGGTTCCATTTCAAAATAAAACAACAGGGAAAAGGATGAAAACGGGCTTTATGGCAGACAAGACGATCGCGAAACCGAATTCCGCGAACCCGCGACCACGGAGAGTGCGTGTCCCGTCAGACGGCTGTTCGTGTTCCCTACGAGCAGGACGCCAGCACGGCAGGGGGCGGGGGTGCGGGCTGTGGTCAGGGCCGTTCACGTCTGCGCCGCCACGTTCCCGACGGGGTCACGGGGGCGGGGCTGTCGTGGGGACCGACGTCCAGTTCTTGGAGGACGGCTTCCACGTGAGCGCCTCGGAACTACCGTTCGGCAGGTTACTCCGTCTCCTCCTCTAAGACACACACTCGGATTTTAAGGTTTTTAGAAAAGCAAACCGTGGAGCTGCGGGAGATTCTGCTCAAGTCTGGCCACGTGAGGCGGGGGAGGAAAAGCCAACACACCGTAAACCGGCGGTTCTCCGTCGGGTGGCAGTGTTCCTGCAGGCCTCCAGGGCACCCGCGAGGGCGCCGGGCTGAGCCCGACGGCACCGGGGGTCAGAACGACGGGACCCGCTCTCCTTTCAGGTGCCTCGCTCGACCAGACGTAGGTAAACAGCAACGGTCCTGCGATCTGAACCCAAACGACACGTGGCACAGCTTCCCACACAGTGAACCTACTGGAACAGCAGCTACTGTGCACGCTGACGCACCATTTTGTTTTGTTTGAACTTGTACCAGGATTTTTCGCCCTTCCAGAAAATCGCATCGCCACGGCCAGCGCGTTCACGCGCGGCTGGGGCCGTGGGCTCTGCAGGCCTAGCGGCTGTCTGTACCCGTGGTGTGCACACACAGGCAAGCACTTGACCATCTCACCGCTCCTGAGGGTCTCCTACAGGCGTGTGCATAACGTCGTAGTTTCCTTCTACAGTTAGCAGTCTCCTGGAAGAACCAGCGTTTTGCAATTAGGAAGGCGTTTTATTACCCACGTATTCCACTTCAGGGTCAGCAGTGGGGCGTCCCAAAATGCTTCTTATGTAAGCGGAGTGCTTGCTGTGTCCTGTTCGGGCTGAGAAACGCTGCTGAGACAGCCACTCTCAAACACTATCTTCAGGACCCCTTTATATTTTCAAAAATTACCAAAGACTCCAAGAGCTCTTGTTCATCTGGAATATACCTACTAACATTTACACTAGTAGAGATGAAAACACACACTTAAAAATAACAACAAACTGGGGCACCTGGGTGGCTCAGTCAGGTAAACGTCTGACTTCGGGTCGGGTCATGATCTCATGGTTCGTGAGCACCGAGTCAGGCTCTGTGCTGATAGCACGAAACCTGCTTCGGATCATCTGTCTCCCCCTCTTTGCCGCTGCCCTGCTTGCTCTCTCCCTCATTCCCTCTCTCTCTCTCAAGAAACGACAACAACAAACTAATTACATGTTAAAAAAGTATCTATTTTTTCAAAACTAAAAAAAAAAATCAGGGAGCAGAGGGGCACCTGTTACACGTATGTAGATAAATTCCTTCAACGTTCGGCTTCACAGAAGGAAGCCTCTCTGCTCTGTGTGCTGTGCTGTTTCGGTGACTGTAGCACACAGAGAACGCCCAGCCTCACGCAGCAGTAAAGCTGGAGAGGAGACAAGGGTGTTAACAGTTTCTTAGCACAGCTGTGGGTACTGTTTGTTGGTGCTGCCCCCAAACAACAAGCGGCGGTTTCTTAAGAGTGACTTTTGCGATGTGGACTCTGAAACGTATCGTCTGTTGGAATCCATCACTCCGTCCTGTACTGGGAACGCATCATCCACCTGCCCACGTGTGATCCTGTAATATCCTGCAGCGGTCACCTGGAAACCGGGAGTCTCCGAGTCCCGTGGACCTGTGCAGTGCCGACCCATTTCAGCATACGTACGGAGAAAGTCATGTTTGTTCACACCACTCTGAGCTCATCACAAAAGTCTCAGAATTCCAAAGCTCTCAGGTCATGGTGATGGGGGTAAGTTTCTCAAAATTCTAATTTTTGCTTGAAGACTCAAATTGTATCACTGGCCACAAACACTATCATCTGTTCTTGATGACACAGTCTTGCTTCGTTCCTTGAGAAAGCGCCTACCGAATGCGTGACTCTGACCAACCACGGCGTCTGCCCACTCCTTTTTCAAGAAACACTGGTCTTCCACGGGGAAAGCAGTCAGTTCCGCAGGCCAGCCGCACCACAAGCGTCTTCCGGTACTTTCTGTTTCCTCCCCCGGAGGACGCGTGACCGCTTCGCCAGGGTCGTTCTGCGGCACCCCAGCGTCGCTCTGGCACAGGTGGCGAAGAACCGGTGATGACCAGCTCGGTCTGGCACTGCCGCCCTGGCGTGCGTCGCGGGGACGGCCGCTTGGTCCGCGGTTACGTCTGCAGCAGGACTGCCAATGCCAGCGGAGTGGACGAGGCCAGGGACACGTGAGCATTACTACGAAATGGGTGTTGCTCCCACGGCCCTCTGAAACGGTCTTGAACCCGCAGATCCAAGAAATACATTTTTAAAACTGCAGAGAAAGGTATTTTTAGCCAGAGGCTTTCCCATGAACCGACGGGGATGTGCAGGACAAATCACCGAAATGAAATGAACCTGGAGTGGGGCTCCCCGGGCTGCATTCCTCACGGGCAAACTTCTCTGAAGATTATTTTGTGTCCAAACATTGGTATTAAATATTGATGAAGAAACTGATAACAATTTTTGATAATCAGCTTTGTGGTTATGGTGCCTTTGCCATTAAGTACAATTAAGCTTTCAATTTTGAATCTGGAACATGGGAGAGAAAAATGTTTCCCTTTAAAAAACTAATTAGGCTACGTGACAAATCTTATTAGTACACAACGTTCATCTACAAAAGCCCGAGATCCTACATGAACTGAAGAGGTTTAAGTGGAATTTATTGTCCGAAAACAGCACAGGCAGAACTATAACAACTGATGAGGCTCCAGACTTCCCGCTAAACGGGGTGGAGGGACAGGAGGTGACGCTGGGCTAGCGGGCTGGCCTCTCGGAGACAAGGGACTCAGCTGCACGCTGGTCACATGCAGGGGCCATAAAGCAGAGTTCAATTCCACGGATCACTGTGGAGGAGGGAAAACTGTGCCCAGACCTGATTCCGGCTGGCAAGGGGGCCGGGTAATGAGCGTGTCTGTTTATGTTTATCGGGCGTCTGTAGGTTTATACTAGCGTTGGCGAGTTTCTGGCCGTGAAAACGTTTAATCCAGGGCTTGCCAACCTTTTCCTCAAAGTGTCAAAGAGCCAACGTATCAACCTGTGCAGCCACAGTGATGGGGCTGCAGGCTGAAAGCAGCCAGGGACAGCACACCAGTGAAGCATGTAGCTCATTCCAGTCAAACTCCAGCGACAACAACAGGCAGTGGGTTACGAGGTGCCGACCCGATCTCCGATTAGAGAGAAGAGCCTCAAAACAGGCATTCTGAAAATGTCTCGAAACCAGAAAGAAAGGCTTTTGTACTCTAAAACAGAAAAAGCCTAACCTCAGACTACACCTTCCAAAATTCAGCCACACGAGCATTATTAAACCAACATTCTACAGACTGAGCTACAGGAAAACATTGAGACGGACAATGTTTCTTCATTCTGTGGAGTTTTGGGGGAGCGCTACAAGATCTGGGGCTCACCGCCAGGTTCGCACAGCACCTGACGCCTCCGTGACTCCATCAGGGCCGCAGAGGCGGGACCTCAGGCAGCCTTCACCGCATCCCTGAGGGCGAGGGGTGCTAACACCCTCGCTTCACAGAGAGGATGGTGAGGCTGGGAATGGGGAGGCCGACGGCCCAGTCATCGGAGCCCCATGTGAAGAGATCCACCTGGCCCTTCGGCCTGAGGAACTAGCTTCCAGACTCTCATGCCTCCCAGGCCCGGACCACTGTGCTGTGGCTCAGTGTATATGCAAAGCGGGAGGGCCTTACATGCTGGGATGAGGGGCTCTCAGTTTTTTCGTGGGTGACAGCAGATCTATCGTTAAATCAGGAGACACGGAAGTGCACTGGTTTCGCTCTCACTCAAAGGAACACCGGTCGAAGGTGGCGTTGGCCCTCCTCCTCTGGGCCTCAGTTTTTCTACTTGTTCAGGAGGCTGGACCAGGGAACCCTCCACCTCAAAATTTCTGAAGAACTGTGTCAATACCCGTAGTCACCGTAAATGTGTGATGTTTTACTATTACACAGTTGAAAATATTGACCACGAAAACAGAAGCTTTCAGGCATCGTTAAAAGTTGGTATAGTATTTAAATAGTACTTTGTGCTATCAGATTTTCTGAATGTTTTTCAAAAAGAAAATGAAATTGCCAGTATCTGCGTATGCTTTTAGCTCATCGAACAGAAAGTAAAGCCTACCATCCATTTAAATTCCAGAAGACGTTCTGAACTGGATTATTCATGGCAAGTAAGCCACTGTGTGAAAATACCTTTCTTTCAAAAGCAAAAGGTATCTGAAGAATTCTCAACCGCATGAGAGGCTTTAACGGCCAACTATGAGCAGAGCCCGGCCACCACCGTTTGGCTGAGCACGGGGGGGTGGGGGGTGGGGGGTGCCTCGGTGACCTCGCAGGGCCGCAGGGCTTGGGGGAGGGGGACAGGCGAGGCCCGGGGGTGCAGCCAGCTGATCCTGACGTGCAAACGCGACGCCTCCGGCTCCCGGCCAGGAAGGCGGCCGCGGAGAGCAGGTAGGCGGCGCGTGTGCACAAGGCTCGCAACCAAACCCAGCCCTAGAGGAAGGGAATTGGGGACCACGGGACTCAGTTTACGGCAGGGTGAAGCATGGAGCGTTCAGGGGTCTGGCTTCGGTCTCTCTGAGGTCTGCATCCCGGCTCCATCCTTCGCGTGCTCCCTGAGCGGGGGAAGCCCTCCTCCACGCCTGGCGTGCTCACTGCAGTCTGGGGGTGGGGGTGGGGCGAGCCGAGGAGGAGCCTCTGAAGACCGCGTCTGACCTCACACAGGGCCTCCAGCCGAAATGCAAACCAGGGAACGAGTGCGGTGAGGGTAACACGCAGGGAGCAGGGAGGCAGGCGAGGGGAGAGGCGTGACACTGGCGGCTCCTGGGACACCCTGACGCCTGGGTGCCTCCCACAGACAGCAGCTGCCTGCACCGGCAGCCTCGAGAGTTAGCGGGAGCAATGCCAGAGTTGGGGTAGGGGCCCCTGCTACCTTGGGTGGCGCTTCGTCGGACCCTCCGGAGTCCCAGGACACTGTGACCTGTCTTCGGGATTCCATCCTCATTCGTTCTTCTTGCTGAACCTTCTCCTCCTCCAGGATGGTGCTAGAGAGAGAACACACAGTTCAAGGGGAGCTGACAGCCGGAGCGAGCGGGCACACACCAGGCCCCCCACCCCCGGGCTGACGTAAGGAGCGCCGGCCGGCCGACAAGAGGGCAACGAGGACGAAAGGGAGAGCCGATCCGGTCTCTAAGGCTAGAGGAGCCCCGGTTCCGACGGCGAGCCCGCTTTCAGCACAGCCGCAGGGGAGAGAAGGGCAGTGGGTGACACCGGAGAGACCGGAGAGCTCGTGGAGACCCAGAGGAGCGCCAGGAGGGGAGGTCTGTGAGCAGAACGGCATGGCCCCGAGACACCCCGAGCAGCACTGGGTCGGGCACGGCCACGCCTCGGGACGGGCTCCTCACACGCACACGGGCCCCCACCCCAGCGCGCCGGGGGACAATCCACAATCCGGCCAGTAACCTCCCCAACTTTCAGCTTTATCTCGTCGGGAAAACGAGGCCACGGGCTGCCGGTGCCGCCGCCCGCCACGCTGAGGCCACCTGCCGCCCCGCCTGGCCCCGGCCCCCATCCCCACGGGCCGCTGCGGCTCCTGAGCCGTGGCCGCCAGCCCAC